ACCTCTGGTCTAAAGCCTTGTACCTTTAATTACCGCATCATACTATCTTTCTCTATAAAAGAGTTATCTGTGATCAGTTCATTACTTTATAATACTCATTTGGCATTTAACCAAATTTAAGATGCCATTATTTTCTTTATATGACCTGCCTATAGTTCCTTGAAGGCAAGGATCTTACACCTCTGTATTTTCCAAGCATAATACATAGATGGTTTTTCAATAAATGTTCGTTGAGGATAGCAAATAAATCACACACTGTTATGCAGAAAATTGTACGGAAATGAATAGCTTATCTGGCCAATTTGGCTTAAGGCGCACTGCAAATGAAATGCAAAACACACGAAATATACAAACCAGCTAATATGTCTAAAAACTAGGAATCTCAGCGAGCAGAGATACTTTACACGCAGGCTCATACTTGTATTCTCTTACAAATGAAAAAAAAGACGGAGTTCATGCATTTTTCTGAGGCACACAACCACCTTTCCTTGCTACCCTTGAGAGATGCACATTCCAGAAGTCTGGATTTTCTGCGGGGTGGGGGTTTGCGTGGAGAAATGTCTTTTGTGCCAAAGCTTCATCTACCTATCTGCAAGTCTGAAAGACAAACCTCGACAAACTCATCAGTTTAACTGTTTCAAATGAAGATAATCTTCACACATATGCTGTACAGAAAGAACTGTGTGTCCGCCCTCATCATCTTCAGCACCCGCACAGTCAGATGAAGACAGTCGGCAATATGTGCCTTCTTTTCTCCTCGAGGCTCCAGCACAGCTCAAAATGCATCTGAGCCCACAGTTTGATTTACCTTTCTCACCTCGTCACCAAAACACAAATAAACCTCAGAAAGCAGACTGAATCACAAGGACCGAAGCTATTTATTCTACAATCATCAATAACCTTATACCAACAGCAAGTCACCCATTCTGCATATGCGTGGTGTTTGTAATTACTGTTTGTCTAAACTGTCCTGATCATCATATAGTACACTACGCTGCTGGAAGGATCTTAACTCTTCCTCGTCCTCACTTTTGTATGCCTAAATTGGAAGGGTCAACTACATGTATCCATATCAGATATTAGAGGCATAGTACAATAAACGGGACGTCATTAAAAATGCCCTAAGCCTTCTGTAGCCTATTTCACGTTCGGGTTTTTTCTTGGACTCCACAGGAATAAGGCTTTCCTTTGCAACCTCGAAAGGACAGGGCGTAGCAGGAGCTAGGTGATGAGTAAAGGTCGACTCCGGCTCCAAAAGAACGCCAGATTCTGGGCAGCAGAGATACTACTGCAGCTTCAATGAACCTTAAACAAACTGACACCCCAGAGAAATGGATCCCAATGGTGTCTCCCCTCCCCCAGCCCCCAGTCCAATTCCAGACACCGCACCCACTCCTTTTCCATCCTCAGTCCCGGGTCCCGAGCTTGGTAGGCAGAGAAAGGGTGGGGATTGGGGGTGCGGAGGAAAAAGGGGGTGGGGTCGGAAGAGAAAAAGGTGTGGGGAGGCAGAGAAAATGGGGCGCGAGACTGAAGAGGAAAGGGGATGAGGCAGAGAAACGCGGGGTGGGGGGAAGGCGAGGCAGAAAATGGAAGGAATTAGAAGGGGAGCCGAACGTAGGCCAAGCAGGGCCAGGAGGGGAGGCGAAGCAGCCGGCGGGCAGAGAAAGGGGCAGCGCCTAGGGCTGACAAGGGTTGAGGCACTTGCCATAAATCATAGCCAGGCCGGTTTCGTGCAGGAAGCGGGCCCGTCGGTGCTTGAAGAGCCAGATCGTGAGAATAGTGAGGGTGAGCAGCAGGATGAAGATGAGCAGGTTGGCGCTGTCCTGCCGGTGGCTTTCCTCGGCTTGCTTCTCGGACACGATCTCCTCGTCCATGGCTCTCGCCGCTCCGCCGCCGCCGTCCGAAGCCCCTGCCCAGTCAAAGACGCCCACTGCGAGGAGCAACCAGAGGGGCCGCATGAGCCTGCGGACTCGGGGACCGCTGGCGACACCGCGGCGGAGGGGTGCCCGCCGCCAGCCGCGCGGAGCCATGTCTACCCCCGCCCCCCGCCCCTATCCTCACCGGCGGCCGCCCGCGGTCGGACCACTCCCCGAGGGCTCACGGGAAAGGGGCGGGGCCCGGGGGTAGCCGTCGGAGCGCGCGCCGCAGCCACCGCTCTTAAAGGGGCCGCGGCATCCCCAGCTCGCTCTGCCGGGTTCCTTTGCCCCTCTGCCCCAGGTCACACGCACCCACAAGCGCTGCCGAGGAATAAAAGGCCATATGAACTAGCCCCCTGCCTTCTGCTAAAGAAACATCGGCTCAGTGTAATCAAGCAGAGGCCGACCGCACTGTCTACTTTGATCCTATTCTTAGAGCTCTCAGGGGAATCGATCTTTCATAACCCATCTCAATATCGTCCCCCAGTGTCTCTTAACAGGATAAATTGTCCCCTTGGGAGGGACCTCAATCTCCATCTCTGTAATTTAAATCGGATTCTCCTTGTATTATCCTTATCGGGAAAAAAAAAAAAAAAAACACTCCAGCACTGTAGCAGTTCATAAAACGAGCAACTCAAAGGTGTGTGGATTATGTGTATGTCTGTGTAGTCGGTTTTCTCTACATGTAAACATCTGGTATCTCTCACGCCAGGAATCTGTAAACAGATCGGTTTATGCTCAGATTTCCCGATGCTCGTAAACACTCTCTTCCTGAAGAAAAAATCTTGGGTAGTGTGGTGGATTTCTCCTTCTTCTCTTGCTCCTTTTTAACTGCTGTTTTAAAGCTAATGTCCCTAGCTCAGAAGTCATCTTTGACCCCTATCTCTCATCTCTCCTCCTTGGAATTCCTCAGAACAGTATTTTTTTCTGTTCTCAGCTTGTCCAACCTCTCTCACCAGAATTTTCACAGTTCTCACCTCCAAACTCGAGCTTTGTCTTTTGAGAACAGTGAATTCCTATTTTTTCCATATTTCTCAGATCGCTCCTTAGTTTGCGTGGGCTCTTTGTTTTCTTAAGACTTTGATTTCAATATGAATGAGCTACAAGTGTCAAGCCCTGGCCTGCTGCCCTAACTTCAGGCCTCTACCTGTTGGATTCTGAGCATATCCTGTTGAGGCTCCTACCACCTCAAAACTTATTTGAAATGGGCTTATTTGAAATGAGTTCCCCCTACAATTACATTTTTTTTCTCAAATTCTTCATACCATCAGTGGTACCACTATCAGTTCAATTCCCAGCATTCTGCCTGGAACTCGTGATTCTTAAATGTTTCCATCTCATGGCCATATAACCTCCTTGCTAAAACCTGTAATACTCAGGCAACACCAAGCTGCCTCTGTGTGTATTCACCCTCACTAACCAGCTCTCTAAGCTCTCAGGATGATGAGCTAAACAAAAAAAGCACTCCAGCGATGTCCAATTCCACTTTCTGTCCCTTTTAGGTCAGGAACTGCCCCAGATCAGAGCGAGTGACTGCGTGCCCATTCTCTGCTATTAGGACCTGGGTCTGCCTGTGTCTTCCCAAGAAACCTCATGGCTGCCTGTCCCCCTGACTCCAGTCGAACCACACTGCCCTGTTCACACAGGGCTGGGCTTTGTGAAAGCAAGAAATCTAGGTAAGGATCCTTCCCAGTCTCCCCATCATCTCCTCCCCAGAAGACCTAGTAAATGAGCTTACCTGCTTCTTCATGCCTAACTCTCATTCCAAGGCTGTTTTGACCCAACACAAACCCACTTTTCACTGAGTGTTTAGAACCTGAAAAAAAAAGAAAAGAAAAGAAAACGAAGCCACAGATTGCTTCCCAGACCAGATTCAGCAAATGTCTTCAACCACCAGACTGCTTCTGTTTCTGTGGCCCCAGTAACTTAGAATGACCCTCAGCAACCTCTTTGTATTCGAGTTCCAGGAGGAGTCTTGAAATGGTAATGACTTCTACCAGGCAGCCAATCCTCCTGAGGCTTCTGCTCCTGAGAGAATGTACTTCTCTCTCCATCCAACACTGCTCTATACTTGTGACGTCTACATCCCAGTTTCTCCTCTTGCTACTTCCCTCTCTGTCCATCTTTGTCAGTGTGGTCCCTGGAATGTTCTTCCTTGTAAACACACTACTCAACCCTCTCGGTCACTGCATGGATGGCCCCTCCATCTCCTCTCATTACCAGAATCCACGTCTCTCCCAGGATATCACATGTTCTGATGCTGTTGCTAATGGAGGCTGTCCGTGTTCATTTGGTCACAGCCCCACTGTCCTACACACAGATACACACGTATACACCACTCACACCCTGTATCAGGTGGCCTGAAGGAGTTGGCACTGTGCTTACTCCCCATTGTTTCACATTGTTTCAAGCTCATTACCCCTCCATTGAAGCTCTAACACCATCTCCTTCCCACATTGTCCTCTCTTAATGACTTCCTGGTCACTCCTACACATTCGCTGAGTACTTGGAAATCTGGTTCACTCTCTCCTCCCACCCCACTGCCCAGACTGACATCATCCAGAGTGACTTCACTGCTCATATAGACAACTCACCGGGAATCCCAGCCTTGCTTCTTCTGTCACTGAGAAAGTCAAGGTATTCTGGGAAAATCCTACCCTGCTAAAATATCCCATCAGTGCCCATCCTGTCTTTCTCCCCACAGCCTCAGTGGAAAGAGTGTTTCCTTCTCCCTTAAGAGGCTAATTGGCCAGGCATGGTGGCTTACGACTATAATCTCAGCACTTTGGGAGGCCAAGGTGGGTGAATCACTTGAGCCCAGGAGTTCGAGACCAGCCTGGTCAACATGGCGAAACCCTGTCTCTACAAAAATCACAAAAATTCGCCAGCTACTCAGGAGGCTGAGGTGGGAGGAGGGTTTGAGCCCAGGAGGCAGAGGTTGCAGTAAGCTGAGATCAGGCCAGCCTGGGTGACAGAGTGAGACCTTGTCTCAAAAAAAAAGTGAATTGACCAAACTGTACTCTGCACGTCATCACTTCCTTTCCTCTTCATCCAGGATCTACTCCAACAATCACCCCCCTGCCTCTACCATCTTCAGTGGCTCCTTCTCTATCATCTCTTTCTGCTCTCCATGAACATTTTCAGGTCTCCTATGAGAAACAGCTTTTCATCCACACCCCCTCCAGCTACTGCACTATCTCTCCTTTCCTCTTCAGAGATAAGCTTCTCAAAAGAGCTCTCTGCATTCTCTGGGCTCCCATCCCATAGTCCAGGGATTACAAAAAACTAGACTATAGTCTGAGGGCCAAATCCAGCCTGCTACGTGTTTTTGCCTGTCTTGAAGCTAAGAATGTTTTTCACATGTTTTAAGGGCTGAGAAAAAAATTTAAAGAATATTTTGTGACATGTAAAAGTGATGTGAAATTCAAATTTCTATGTCCATCAATAATGGTTTATTGGACATGGACATGTCCATTCCTTTACTTATTGTCTATGGCTGCTTTAGCACTACAAGGGCAGAGATGAGTAGTTGCAAAAGAGATCGTGGACTGCAAAGTCTACATATATACTATCTGGCCCTTTGCCAGGAAGATATGCTGACCTCCTCTTTAGTCTCTGCCAACCATTCCTCTACACTTTTATAAGAGGGGTGTTTCTGGAGCACAAATCCTGTAATCCTCCCTGCCTTGCTTTTGGTTCTAGCTCCTTAGCCTGGCAGCCAATGCTCCTCCAGACTGCCTCTTCACCCTTCTATCCTGTCCTTCTTTCCCAAATATATTTTGCTTCAGTCATTCCGAACTCCTTCTAGTTCCTTGAAATGCTTCATGTGGTTTCATGCCATTTATGTGCCTTTCCATGTGTTCCTTCTGCTTAGATAGTCCTCAACTTTCTCCTCATCTAACTAACTTCTACTTGTCTGACGAAACTCAGATTACAGATCACCAAATTTTCCAGGATGCCCTCAGGCTGAGTTAGGAGCCTGATACGGTTTGGCTCTGTGTCCCCATCCAAATCTCATGTCAAATTGTAATCCTCAGGTATCTGGAGAGGGGCCTGGTGGGAAGTCACTGGATCATGGGGGCAGTTTCCCCCATGCTGTTCTTGTGACAGTGAGTGAATTCTCAGGATATCTGATGGTTTAAGGCGGTTCCCCGCTTGCTCTTTGTTTCCTGCTGCTGTAAGAAGACATGCCTTGCTTCCCCTTTGCCTTCTAACATGATTGCAAGTTTCCCAAGATCCTCCTCCCCAAGTCATGCTTCCTGTACATCCTGCAGAACTGTGAGTCAATTAAACCTCTTTTCTTCATAAATTACCCAGTCTCAGGTAGTTCGTTATAGCAGTGAGAAAACAGACTAATACAGAGCCCCTCTTCAGAAAGGGCTTCTAAGGCCCCCTGGAAGATCTCTATCCTAGTAGCTCTCATGATGTATTGTGTTTGATTGATGAGTTTATCATTCAACAGGTCATGAGCACCGTGAGGGCAGGAACTAGGCTTCATTTATTTCTTTACTGACAGCATCTAGCAGAAGGCCTAAACAAAACAGGAACTTTATAAAATATATCTTATGCATGCTCAGCCCAAGCATGGTGGCTCGTACCTATAATCCCAGCACTTTAGGAGGCTGAGGCAGGAGGATTGCTTAAGTCCAGGAGTTTGAGACCAGCCTGAGCAACAGTGAGCATTCATCTCTACAAAAATTTTAAAAATTAGCCAGGTATGGTGGTGTGCACCTCTGGTCTCAACTACTTGGAAGGCTGAGGTGGGAGGACTGCTTGAGCCTGGAAGTTCCAGGTTACAGTGATCTACGATCTTGCCACTGCACTCCAGCCTAGACAACAGAGTGAGACCTCGACTCTAAAAGTAATTAATAAATATCCCTTAAATTTAATTAAGTACCAAAGAAATCTTCATGTCTGCAGATAATATTTAATTTCTCCAGGTAGAGAGATTCAATTCAAGTTTAAACTGAAAAGAGAGCTTCGGTCAATATAATACTTGATGATTGAACAGTGTAGATAAGTTTAGTCAACACAGTCATTGGTTCATTGGAGGTGCCTGATAAACACTGAATTAAATAATTCATGTATTGGCAGGAGGCTGAGGCAGGAGAATTGTTTGAATGGCGGAGGCTGAGGTGGCAGTGAGCCAAGATTGCACCACTGCACTGCAGCCTGGGCAACAGAGTGAGAC